AGAAAGCACGTATTCACTAAATACGTTTTCAGTACAAATTCAATTGTAAAACGTATTTAGTGAATACGTTTTACAAATTTTTTTACAAAGGAAAACGTATTTTGAAAATACGTTTTATAATAAAAAGCATATTCACTAAATACGTGATTTTGATTTTGTTCCAGCCTTTGTTAGTGTATTTTTTTGTCCAAAACTTTATTATTATTATTATTTTTTTTTTGGTAAAAGTATCTTTTATATGGATCTTTAGTAATGGTTGGTTTTATAATGAGTGCATAGTTGCGTCCCTAAACAAGACCAAATTATGCCCACTAATCTTACGTTAAGATCCACAATATATCTCTAGGATGGTACATTAATTAGAGGAGGGGTAAGATTATTTGGATCTCTACATTAATCATGTAGGTCATGTAATTAAAATAACCTATCTATGTATATATATATAAAAGAGAAAACATATTTACTAAAAATAGTAATAAAAAAAGTCAACCAGTTTTTATTACATTCTATTTTCGGTATTTTTTAATTTTCTTTTTAAATTATTCCCACAAAATCCAGCAGCTATACATGCGCCCTAAATTTATGGGTTTTGTAGATTTGATTTAGATAATTATCGATTGATACTTACAATATTGCAAAAGACAAAATTCTTTCTCATTTTTTAATTAAAAAAATTTGATTACCATAAAATTGAGAATTTCTAATTAGACAAAATAATATCGCATATATCTTTTCCCAATTGCAACATATCATCGTTTATTAAAAAAATTAGATTGCATAGAACTCGAGTTAATTTAAGTAAAATTCAGCATGACAATTTTGTAAAAATTAAAATTTTCTCATTTTTTATTAAAAAAATAAAAAATTGTTTACCATAAAATTGAGAATTTTGAATTATGCAAAATAAAATTACATGTATCTTTACCTAATTGCAATATATCATATTTATTAAAAAAATCAGATTGCATAGAAATCGGCCCAATTTCAAATTGATAACTAAAATTTAAAAACCCCATATCATTTGGCTACTACTTTCTTTAGTTCGAAAATTTTTTTAGACATAAAACAGAGTTAGATGATATTAATTTGAAATTCAAAATAAAATCGGATTGTAACATCCTAAAAAATTGGGTTTTGTTTAATTTATAGAATACAAATTTGAAATTGATTGTATACACGTACACAATTTTTTCTTCCTTAAATTAAGTAATTTACAATTTTTAAATATTAAGGCTATAGATTATCAAGAAAACGTTTTACAATCTCCGTTATATTTAGCTATGCGATCTTCATAAAACCAGTATAAATCATATCAATATATCATGCTAAATAATTTAATAAATTTATTTAAACCTATTTAGAATCCTAATATATATAGGTGTCAAGTGTGTTTATTTTCTTAGATACAATTTACACAGAGGTACATTGTTTTCTGTTTGATAATATATAAGTTACATTTTTTTTTTTTAATTCCAATACATGGTTTTTACGTTCTTTCAATCATTCAAATATAAATCATTATCTTAATAAAATTAGTCCGTGCATTGCATGAGTACCGCACTAATAATTAATCTTGTGATGTACATGAATAATAATGTATGTAGGTCATTACATAATGCAATATTAGAGTAAATTATTTTTACATTAATTCCAAAGTAGTGTATTTAATTATAAATTAATTTATGCGAAATATGAGAGCTATAAATTCTATCGTTTAAAAAAAAAAGTTAAAAAGAAGGTGAAAGAGACTTAAATCATGTTCGACTATATAATTAATTAATTTACTTTCAAAGAAATTTAACTTATTTTATATTAATTAATTTAACTTCAAACAAATTTGACTTATTTTAGCTCAAAATATATTAACAACTAATGTGGACAGACCGTACGAGATATGGACATTCCCAGATCCCATTTCAGATTGTTGAAATACTTGAACTAATGCAAATGTTTACACCTAATAAGAATGTATAAAAAGCAATCCCAAATGTTTACTTGAATTAATAATACTTGAGGCTCACATCTTCTTCTACTTTTATTGTGGATGGTGTGGTACCCAAGTAGTTATAGAGTTGGTACTAATTGTGAAAGCTCTTCTACTTCTTTTCTACTATTTGGGTCTCAAATAGCAGTAAGATTAGTACTGTTTTGTATGAGGGCTTTTACTTATGTCACTGTTCTAAAAATCGGAGTAGGCGGCCGCCTAGGAGGCGTCTAGGCGCTAGGAGGTGTCCGGGCGCCTCTGATTTGCACAAATCGGCAAAAAAAATCGACCAGGCAACCTTGGCGGGCTCGGCGGCCAGGCGGTTAGGCGGCGCGTAGGCAGACATAGGCGAACCTAGGCGCTCCTAGGCGGGCTCGGCGGCAATTTTTCAGTTTTTTTTTTTTTATTTTTTTTTTAATTTTTTTAAATATTAATTAATTATTTTATTCTCAAGTTTTCTTTAAAATATATTAATTTGATTATTTGGACTTAGGTGTGTCAATTTATTATAAATTGAGATAATCTTATTTTGTAAGTAGTTAAAATAAATAAAATATAAAGTAGGACGGGGAGTGAGCTGACGTGCTGTTCAGGACATTTGTTTAGTGATGTATATACTATGTTTTGACCACGCTACTTTCCGCTACTTTTTTTCAGCACTTTTAAACAGCTTTTGATCCGACGTTAGTCGGTTAAAATATTTCAGAACCGTTTTTATTATCAGTCTAAAATTAACGGTTTTCAGAAAAGTCAAGATTTTCCCGGTAGCACCCCGAATCAGCTTTCGCAAAATAAATATTTTATTATATTATTCAGAAAACTTGCGAAAAATGCGTACTCTGATATTATTAAAATAGCGGGGTGTTACAATTGGTATCATAATATTGATTTCTAGGTGCCACCTAGGCGCTAGGCGCTGGTCGAGCGCCTAGCGGGCGCCTAGCGACTTTTAGAACACTAGTTTTTACTAACAGACTCCCTAAAATACTTAAAAAATAAATGTAAGTACTTATGCAATAAACTCTTACCCCTTGGATTCATCTGAATAATAATCATCCTCATTAACTCATCATCATTCATTTAACTTTAACCTGGCCAACTTCTAATTACTTGAGAACTGAAAAGCTTCAATCTTTGGCCAAAATAATTGCTTCAACTCCCTTTCAGACCTTGAGAAAACGTTACACATGATGAATCTGCACATAGGCAAAATGGGAATCTGGAAAATCAAAAGAAGAATATGAATCACACATTCCAAATTAACTCCTTCCTTTACACACACCTTATAAATACCACAATCCCCTTAGACAGAGCTCTTATCAATTAATCATTACCAAGAAACCGAAAAAAAAAAAGGCAGTCACTCAGTCACTCTCATTCACTCTCACTAAACAAGCAAAACATGGCTGGCAGGAACAAAAGGAGCATTCTTGGGAGTAAGACAAGCTTGTCCAATACCACCACAATAGTCGAATATCGTCAAGAACAAGGAGCCATCAATGCCCCGATCGTCTCATCCTACAACGACCGCATCCGCCCATTGCTCGACGCGGTGGACCGCCTCCGCCACCTCAAAATCATGCAGGAAGGCATCCAGCTCCCGACCATCGTGGTGGTTGGCGACCAGTCTTCCGGCAAATCGAGCGTGCTCGAGTCCTTGGCCGGCATCAGCCTCCCCCGCGGCCAGGGAATATGCACCCGCGTCCCCCTTATCATGCGCCTCCAGCATCACCCCAGCCCCGAACCGGAGCTCTTCCTTGAGTACGGCGGCCGCGTAGTCCCCACCGACGAAGCTCGTGTCTCCGATGACATTGTCACTGCCACCGACGAGGTCGCCGGCACCGGCAAGGGGATCTCCAATGACCCCGTCACCCTTGTCGTGAAAAAGCACGGCGTGCCCGACCTCACCATGGTCGACCTGCCTGGGATCACTCGGGTGCCTGTCCATGGCCAGCCGGACGACATCTACGAGCAGATCTCGAAGATCATCAAGGAGTTCATCACACCTGATGAGAGCATCATCTTAAACGTCCTCTCCGCCAGCGTGGACTTCACGACGTGCGAGTCCATCCGCATGTCCCAGCAGGTTGACCGTACGGGCCAGAGGACCTTGGCTGTGGTGACCAAGGCAGACAAGGCCCCCGAGGGCCTGCTCGAGAAGGTGACGTCGGACGATGTCAGCATCGGCCTTGGATACGTTTGTGTGCGCAACCGGGTCGGGGATGAGACGTATGAGGAGGCCCGAGAGGAGGAGGCCCGGCTGTTCGAGACGCACCACCTCCTGTCTGGGATAAGCAAGTCTATGGTTGGCATTCCTGTGCTGGCCCAAAGGCTTGTACAGATCCAGGCGAATCTCATCGTCAAGTGCCTGCCTGACATCGTACGCAAAGTCAATGACAGGCTGTCGTCCAACATGGACGAGCTGAGCAAACTGCCACGCAGCATGACATCTATTGTCGAGGCCATGACGGCCTTCGTCCAGATTCTAGGCAACGCCAAAGAATCCCTCAAGAAGATTCTGCTGAGGGGAGAGTTCGAGGAGTACCCAGATGAGAAGGAGATGCACTGCACGGCCCGCCTGGCTGAGATGCTCAACGCCTACTCTGAGGAAATCCAGGCCAAGTGCTCCGAGAATGAATCAAAGGATAAATTCCTGCTCGATGAGATTAGCGTGTTGGAGGAGACAAAAGCCATCGGGCTCCCAAACTTTCTTCCAAGGACTGCTTTTCTTACCCTGCTGCAGAAGAAAGTGAAAATGGTGTCATTCACGCCGTTTGAGTTCGTTGAAAAAATGTGGGCCTACATCGAGAATGTAGTCGTCACGGTTCTAACTAAGCACTCGGACAACTACCCGCAGCTGATGTCATCCACGAAACGGGCTGCTCAGAACCTGTTGGCCATGAAGAAGAAACAATCGGAGGATTGGGTAGTGGATGTGGTTGAGATGGAGAAGATGACGGACTACACTTGCAACCCCGAGTATGCTGATTTGTGGAGCAAGCTCATGGCCCACCATAACACATTTGTGGATATTCTGACTGATAACTCGAAGCCAACGGCGATGAACATTGTTGGATATGGGAATGTCGATGTTTTGCATTTAAGGGGTCAGGCAGGGGTCGTGCAGGAGGCATTTGACCTCAAAATGAGACTGACGGCCTATTGGAAGATTGTTTTGAGAAGGCTGGTCGACTGCATGGCCTTGCATCTGCTCTTTAGTATCCAGAATCTGGTGAACAAGGAAATGGAGGCGGAGATTATTAATGAAGTAATCGGCCCGGAAGGGAAAGGACTGGAGAGAATGCTGGAGGAGTCGCCTGCTGTGGCCGAAAAACGCAAGAGGCTTAATAATAGCGTCAAGTTGCTGAAGGAGTCCAAGGAAGTGGTCGCCAAGATCATTGATAATATTTCTAGTATTAGTACGTGATTGGTTTGGATTTCGTTTTCTAGTGATGGTTAATATTTATGGTATTAGTATGTTATGGTTTGGTTAATATTTCTGGTATTAGTATGTGTTTGTTGATTGAGTCAATAACATTCAGAAAAATAAATCAAAGAGATAATTTGATTGAGTCAAACACAAGAATCGGGTCAAAAACAAGGAACACAAAATCTTCTCCACAAAGAATGAACACATTGTTTGCTAAATACTAATGAGCTATTAAACAGAGGACATAGTTGAAACCAACTTACAATGGATTGATTTCTGTATCAGCCACTGCAAATGAATTTATTTCAACAACAGATAATACCATCGCAATTGTTGCAACAAGAAGCCATTGCCTCAACTTATGACGACATCAAGGTTGCCGTACAAGTCTATTTACAACAGAGTCAAGTGAATCGACGTGCCTCCTGAGTACTTTTCTGTTTACTTCATTAAGGTAACACAAATTATAGCTTCTTTTACAGTAGTTGGGGGACGAAGATAGAACTATGTCTAGAAACATTCCTACATAGAGAAATTCAGGCACAAAGGCAGCAAAAAGATAGAATAGAGAAAAGGATACAACTGTGTGGCAAGTGCATCCATCCCTTTCATTTCTTCATTTAGTCTGCAGCAAGAAATTTCCAGAAAAACAAACAATGAGACGTATCAAGAAAGTTAAATATATATGTCCAATAATATCGCGATTAAGGAGCTATGTGGACACTAAGCTCAGAATGTGATATTAATGTATCAAAGAATATGTTCTACCAGCAGCTCAGGAAATAACATAACTACATCAGTCAAAACTGGCAGTGCAATAAGTTACATAGTACCTAACACAAAATATAAGTGTGAATTTAACTTTTCTCCGTAAATGAAACATGCAAGTGTGCAACTCAGCTGACTTTGCAGTATAGATAATAGAGTTTTCACGATAATGACCATGAATCAATACAATTCTTTTCAGCAACACTTTTTTTGTTAAATTTCCAGCTATCAGTAACTTATATCCTTGCCATATCAGTCGCACTATAAATAAGTTAATCCAATTTCCAGCTTAATCTTTTAGGGAGAAAATAGTTCATTTTTTCAATTACTGCCTACATGCCATTGCTCCAAAAATTTTACTCAAGCATAATTCAAAGCGCATTTCTATATTTGCGAAATTAATTTTTTTCATGGGTTCAATTAATGCTGCAACTACTGTTTCATCCTCAAAAACTAGGAAAAAGACAATCATATTAAACTTTTAACAACACCAGGAAAAGTGGAACTTAGTACTTTGTCATTGTGCACCATATTGACAGAACAAGGCGATAACTAAAAAATTTTAACTTCGAACTTAGCTACTGAAGTCAACAAGAAGTGCCCGCTTGCCAGCTGGCTTTTTTCCCGAGTGCATGTTGGTAATTAATTGAATCGAAAAATGAAAACAGTGTTAAGAAAAATATTCATATACAATTTTTTTCCATAGAACCAACGCTCGTCTCACCCAAAATGTACTCAGAGCATATATTTGCAAGATTTTGGATCAGGCTTAACTTAAATAATTAAGAGAAACTATAATTCTTTCGGTTTCCTGCATAGAATTTAATGAAAAGAGTACCATTATCCAAGCATGAGAAAGGACAAATATACAAACCTCAGACAAGAGTTTATGTATCTGTTCCCCTTTGTTGATGCATCAAGCACTGCAACATAACAAGTAACACTGATGCCCAATTCTCCATAAACATTATATCAACTACACATGAAAGGGAAAGAACAAAGACAAAATTTGAATCCCTCACATTCGAAAGTAAGACAGGCATGACTCAGATTTTTAACTATAATCAAGGAGCTTAATAGAATCGATTGGCCGGTGGGAAAAAAAACCAACAAAAACAAATTTTGAAAATTATGCCTAACTAAAATAATCTGATACAGGTTCCTTTTAACAAAGAGTTTAGGATCCCCCAGATAAACCTTTTAATGATTTAGTACAGAATTACACCGAGAAAAAAGAAGTTTAACTTACCACACTCTTGAAGGCGACCAGCTGCACCACTGAAGCAGTTCATGTGATCAACTGTAGAGCTGGTGGCCTATAAATTAAGGAATACTAATTATAATAGTTAACCAAGAATCCCAATAATCTGAAATCAAGTTAACATAATAGAAAGATATATTCATCAAAACAGCAACATTTTATTGCATATAAAAAGGACTGAAAGCACTATTTCTCACTCTGAGCGACCCATCATCCAAAACTTCTCAAAATAACCAATGTGAATATCACTTGGATTGACGCTGTAAATGTAAAAAACACGCCCACATTAAGGTATAAAGAATTTCAGAAAGTAGAGACCTCGGAAAGTGATGATCGGAGAGAAGCAAATAGAGAAGAGTAGCTCTCTGCAATCGCAATAGAATCTCTCTCCACCGCTTCCAGAGCTTTAAGCATGTCCTTCCGGCGAACGGACGGCTCCGATTGACCCGAATCATCGCCGTTTGCGGCGTCTGCATCATTCCGGCTCTCAACACCGTCCAGAGGGGATGTCGAGCGCTGATCGGCGACCGCCTCTGAGCTGACATTCATCATTTCTTCCTTCTCCATGTGTAAGCTGGGACTCGATTGCTTCTTTGCGAGGGTTGGCTTTTGGGGGAGTTGGAGCTTGTTCGTTGTATTCGGTTTTTGTTTTTTCTTTCTCTATAGCGTAGTTTTCTCTATAGCAATTAGAGTTAATTAAATAAAAAAAAAATAAAAAAATTGAATAAGGTTTGAGTAATATTTGAGTTTGTATTAAAATATAATTTAAAATATAATGATTAAAATTAATTTGATGTAAAAGTAAGAGAGATGTGGTTGAAGGTGATGTATTGTAAAAAAACATAAAATTATGCTAGTAGATGAATAATTAGTTGAAGTTGATGTGATATGCGAGAACGATTAATTGATATTATTAAATTATATTGATAATGAAATTTTAGGGAAGTTGGAAAGTTTTGCCTATGAAGTAAACAATGAAGGTTCACTTAATTGCAGAAGCACTTTGATAGAGGAGATATTACTGGCTTTGACCCTTCAAATGAACCGAACAACCTGGTCGGGTTAACGGAGCAGTTTGACTCGCGTTGCCAAGAAATAATAATAGAACCAACAGTGGCCCACTAAAAAAGGGCACAATTTTAGATAAGCCCACACTCGATCAGACATTGGAAGACCGAGAGGTCGAATCGACCACGCCAGCTCTACCTAATGATAGAGGAGTCGAAGAGGACCATGTTCTACCAGGACAGAAGTTCGACTTGGTAACGTGGACTTAGTCTCTGAAAAAAACAAAAATGCATCTATCTAGACAATCGCACTATACGAAAATCGGACCACGCATCACAATAAGATTGGGTCGTCTGCACCCCTAACACCTGACAACCTGAGGCAATCAAGAAGCTGCAGGTCGTGCGAACGAGCAACAAGGGCAGTCGGTCACCTTTCCGAGCAGACTCAGAGGAACAAGACACCACCCTAAGTTGATGCCATAAATCACAATAATGTTGGATTAAATTTTAGCAATATAAAATTGACGGTTTTGCTATGAAGCCAACAGTTGGCTCTATAGTGGAACCAACCTTCTATATAGAACAAGTAAATCTACCATATTAATAAAATTATATCAGTGTTATTTAAGTAATCAAGAAATATGGTAGATTTATTTGTTGTATATAGAAAGTTGGCTCCACTATGGAGCCAACTGTTCGCTTCATAGCAAAATCGATAAAATTGATATTTGCTAAATACGACTACCATAGCTTTTTCCTTTATAATCTTGCACGTCATTTACAAGTCAAATCAATTTTGAAACATTGACAAAATATAATCAAAATCCTATTCATTGTCACGCTTAATTAAATTCTAATAAATCATTACAATTGAACTCTTCAGCATCGAATCCATCCTCTTCAGCCACGCTTTCATTATGATGTAAATGCAGTTGGTAAAATAGGGCTCTTATGGTCATACATCATCGACATAATTCTTTGAATAATGTTACAATAGCATTCCCAACATTATTTTCCCAACTATTGCCAAGTCTCAACTGTTTTTGCCTATGAACTGCACATAAAAAGGTTGTAAATAAGAAAATATATTTGAAAAAACATATAAAAATACCTGAAAGAAAAATAAAAGAGAAGGATACACGTACCAAATAATCGAGAAATGTTATTTTAACTGTTAGATCAACTATTCCCGACAATTACAATCTAATGATTACCGATTACCGACAGAATAATTCGATAACGGGACCATAACATTTTTCCCTAATAATCTATGGCCTCACAATGTGAACCTATCCAAACAGTACGAGGCGGGAACACGATTCCATATTACGTTGTGGAACTTTATTTATCATTTTTTTTTTTGTCACAAAAAGCAAAACCCAGAAAAGAAAAAGGAGATAAAAATAAAGAATTTATTTTTAGTTCTTCTCATCAGAGCTTTCGTTGTCAATCACCATCTTCACAATCACATTTTTCTCCTTTGCTTCCGTACAAAGGCAACTCCATTAGCCCAGAGCTGTTTTTTTTTTCTATATTTGTTTCCATTTTTTCTTTTCGCTCTTCTTTTTCCTTGGAAAATCCCTGAGAAAATAGTTGGAGAAATTAGGGAGGTTGAAGAGCAAAATGGAGAAGGGGTTTTGAAATTTTATCTGCAGCAAAAGTGGAGCTTGACGATTTGTTTGATCCGTTATCTATCTGCATTGTGGATTTACACAGGTTCTTACATCGATTATGCGGATTTTTTAGGGTTTTGAATCAGTTGGGAGAAATTAAGATTAGGTTTTTCATCATTGCGTGTTGTAAATATTCCCCTTTTGGTATGAACTATTTTGAATCCGCGTTTCTTGACCAATGTAGGATTTGTGGGGTTCGGAATTGAAATGCGAGGAACAATTTTTTTTTTTTTTTTTTTTGTTTTCTTGACTTGTATTGAAATTCAAATTCGTCTTGCAGGAGCAAAAATTTCATTTAATTTGCAGCTGAGGGCTTATATTTCTTGTTACCTTTCCAATTGCTTTGCAGGTCGTCAATCTAATATTCTTGAAACGCTGTGCATTTTTGTTTAAAGTGTATTCTAGATCTGCTTGCATGTATTACAGGTCGTCATATTTTTTTTTTTTTTTATAAATGAGCTTTGTTTGAATACTGAATTTTTTGTTCTGTATGAATTGTTGAACTTTACAGGGACTTGTCAAATTTGTAATGGATCCACAGTCAGATACTCATGTGAGCGAAAACGGGGAGTTGGGTGGTTTAAGTGAAGTTCGCAACGGCAGCGTTTCTGGTAGGATAGAAGCTTTTAATTGTCTTGCTGGAGGTAAAACCCATCTATTATCTTTCTTTAATATTGAATGTTTAAAATGTTCTTCGTCTCCTCCCTCCCTTCTGCGGCCCTCTCAGGCTCTGAAAAGAAAGAAAATAGAGAATCACCAATTGTCTATTATATAATATGTTCCACTAGCCCACTTGCTACATGACCTCAAGAAAAATGGACTGGCTGATTTTGTGATGGAACATTGAAGTGTAAAGCTTCAAGTCTGCTAACATTTGCATAAAATACTTCTTTCCTCCAGAGTCGAGTCAATTTACTTGTAGCTGCATACTAATGGTAGTGAAGCTCTGGTATGCGACATCTCTAGGTTTCACTTTCCCAAAGCTAATGATTTCACATGAAACATCATCTCCACATATGCTTACCTATATGCCAATCTGTATCATAGAACGTTGGTGTAGGGTGAGAAATTTTCTCTTCAAATTCTTTTATTTTTGGTTCTATATGAAAAATCACTCACTTGAACTTGGTGAGTATCGTGGCTATTTCATATGCTGCTCTCATTAGATGGATGTCAGTAATTTGGTTTCTACATCTTACATGTGACGATCCCTATTATCTGAATTTTGCACCTGTTGATCATGTAGGGAATAACAACTCTGATGTCCTCCAATCAAAGCGTGGTCATTATGGAGATGTCCCTCCTTCTAAGATTACTGAGCTAATGAAACTGGGTAATTTGGAGGTATATATCCAATCACCCCCAGAAGAGTTAATACATTACTAAAACACAAATGCAGAGTTATTTTTTTATGCTTGACGTGTTCGTATGCTTTAAATTGCGCCTTATGCAGAATGCCTCTACACACTCACTTTTTGGCGTTGTCAATAAAGTTCTGAATGAAAGTATTGAGAGAAATGGGGACATAACTCTGGTACATTACAATGAAAGCATACTTCAGATATACCATTATTCCGAAGTTTAGGGACTGATACAGTATTTCTTCACATCGTAGTTCACTTACTCTGTGATACTTAATTGTTTTTTCACTTAGCGTGTCGCATCTGTGCTGAAATTGGTCGTGCAAGAAATTGAGCAGCGGGTTTCAAAACATGCAGACAATATGAGGAAGGTAATACATCATCAGCTGTTAATTATAAACTTATTTTCCTCCAACATAGGCTAATATTTTTAATTCTCCATCATGGTGTTGTACAGCAAAGCAATCTGTACAAGTCGCGTGAAGACAGGTATCATACAAAGATCAGAGCATTAGAAACTCTTGCAACTGGAACTAGTGAAGAAAATGAGGTACAATGGTGGTTATGTAGACTTCAGATGGGAATTTTTTTTTTTATTTTCCTTTTTATTTGGGTTGTTAAGTTTTAATTTTGTCGTTTCTTGCAGGTCGTCATGAACCAGCTTCAACAGATGAAGGTAAATTCCTTAATGAAGGGAATAAATCTTTAATCAATTGTGAATTGTGCTGTTTTAATATTATGAAATAACAATGGTGGGAGTCGAATTCAGAAGATACTAAGTATAATAAGAAGTTGGTCCACTTGTTGTTTCCCCTCAATAAATATCATTTGTTTCTGTCCTTTTCTTCTATTGCTAGATATTAGCTGTCCTTTTATTCTATTGCTAGATATTAGCTGAAACTGTATAATTGTGAATGACTTTAGAATGCTTTCCCCTGTTATGTAAATATACTTTTCGAACTCAGTGAAATTTCATTTTAGTATAGTCTGTTTAATGTGGCATAGTGACTTGTATGGACATTATAATCACACAGGGGCTTTGTCATCCTATTTTAGTTAAATTTCAATCATGAAGCCTTTGTTTCCTCTCATCATATGCAATGATATCAGTTTCTGATAAGAGTATTTATATTGTAGGCTATTTATCAACATGAGCACTGCTGATTTTTATTGACATCATTGTTGGTTATTAAAACAAGAGGATACGCTTATATATGTTTAGCTTGAAGGTTGTTCTTGTATTATTTTCTCCGCTCTATCTAATGTTTTACAGCTGTCCAGGCTGAGAAGAGTAAAATTGAGGAGGAGAAGAAGCTTGAGCAACAGAATTTAATTAAAATGAGGATCGAAAAGGACAGCTGTGTGAGTCAAATTTTGTCGCTTAATGAAGAGCTCGTGTTAGCCAAAAAGTCGTTTGAGGAGGATCTTCTTCAGTTGGAAGCTAAGGCTGAGGATACAAAAGAAAAACTACAAAAGAAAATACTGGAACTTGAGTGCCTTCTGGCTAATTCAAATAAGAAGGTTAAAGAGCTCGAGGAATTTTCAGAATCCAAATTTTTGCGATGGAAAAGAAAAGAACAAGGTTACAGGCACTTCATTGATTCTCAATCTGGATCCATACGGGTGGGTACTTAAAACTGTAATGATCTATTTCAAACTTAGGCCGTATTACTGATGCTTTCTTTTATGAATTCGACCAGGAACTAAGATCATCATCTCAGTCCATAAAGCAAGAGGTCTCAAAGATCAGGGATTTCTATGCTGAAGAGTTTTATCGTTTTGGTTAGATATCGAAACTTTTTAGCCTTTTCAACTTCTGAGATCAGTTGACTTCCATGTCACGTCACTCAGCTTTGTTTTGTTGACACCGGTCAGGTCTGAATCTCAAAGGCTTGATCGACGCTGCACAAAATTATCATAGCGTGCTTGAAGAAAATCGTAAATTATATAATGAGGTCCAAGATTTGAAAGGTCAGTAACTTACATATGGTTTATGTTTATCAGCAAATATATTTTCTCATTTGTATTGCTTTATTTTTCCAGGAAACATAAGAGTTTATTGTCGTATAAGGCCATTCCTCTCGGGACAAAGTGGAAAACAAACAACCATGCAGTATATCGGTGAGAATGGAGAATTGGTTGTTATGAACCCCTCAAAACCAGGAAAAGATAATCACCGTCTTTTCAAATTCAACAAGGTCTTTAATCCTTCAGCCACCCAAGGTTTCTATTCTGACTGGAACGCAATAACAATTTCATGTTTGATGTCTAGTTACTTATTGTACTCTCTCCTTTCTCTCTTCTCTACATATAAGTACGCAAGTATTGTCTTTTATTCTGTATTTCTACTGTTATGTTTGTTTCCTGAAATCCTTCTTGTCTCCAGAGGACGTTTTCCGAGACACTCAGCCATTGATCAGGTCCGTCCTTGACGGGTATAACGTCTGCATATTTGCTTATGGTCAAACTGGTTCAGGGAAAACTTACACAATGGTAAGATAATAATTTAAAATTGGTTGAAGAATTATCTTGACCTTCTTATAATGATAGTGCTATTCACAAATGCTTCCAGACTGGACCGGATGTGTCATCAGTTGTGAACTGGGGAGTCAACTATAGAGCACTGAACGATCTCTTCAACATCTCTCAGACAAGACAGAGCTCCATTGAGTATGAGATTTGTGTCCAAATGGTTGAGATATATAATGAACAAGTGCGAGACTTACTCTGCAATGGCAGTTCTCAGAAGAGATATCCTTTTAAATTCTCTGTTATTGTGTTTACCTCACCATGTCTTTCCTATCCTTACCTTGAAGGCTTGACCATAATAACATCACTACCTATACTTGTGTATGTGTGACTGTTTTCTTTGATTGGAATTTGGAAGTGGGGTACTTTTCATTGTTTTCTTTGACTTGCACACACTTGGGATTTGGAGTATTTCCCAACCAAATGGGTTAGCTGTGCCTGATGCTAGCTTGCACCCTGTTAAATCAACAACCGATGTATTAGAGCTGATGAATGTTGGATTAATGAATCGGGCTGTAGGTGCCACTGCTCTGAATGAAAGAAGTAGTCGATCCCACAGGTTTTCTATATTATTTTCTTTCAGTTTTCTTGTTCTACAAATGTTTCCCCGAACCTAACTTCAATTCTATCTCTACGAGGTAGTATCCTTACTGTTCACGTCCGCGGCTTGGATTTGGAGACAAATTCTGTTTTACGTGGCTGTCTTCATTTAGTTGATCTGGCTGGAAGTGAAAGAGTCGACCGATCTGAAGCAACAGGCGATAGATTGCGTGAAGCACAGCATATAAACAAATCTCTGTCGGCTTTGGGTGATGTGATTTTTGCTCTGGCTCAGAAAAGTGCCCACGTTCCTTACAGAAATAGTAAATTGACTCAAGTTCTTCAGAGTTCTTTAGGTAATTAGTACGTCTTGAAGCATTAAATATACTCTTTTTTTTCACTGGAGAAATTCATTTAATTTTTTGCTCCTGTTTGTTTAGACTAATCTGTCATTCTTGAGCTCTCATGCCTTCCGATTGGCTGATGTTGCAGGTGGCCAAGCAAAAACTCTCATGTTTGTACAGCTCAATCCGGATGTAGAGTCATTCTCAGAGACTATAAGTACCTTGAAGTTTGCAGAGAGAGTTTCTGGTGTTGAGTTGGGTGCCGCCCGAAGTAACAAGGAGGGTAGGGGTGTCAGGGAACTCATGGAACAGGTAATTAACGCGTATTGTACTGTTGTTGATTTCTCTATACCTTCATTTTTCGTCTTTTTGGCTAAAACTTGCGATTTGAATTTTGAAGTATCATCTTTATTTGTGATACTTATCTTCTCCCATCAGTCGCTTGGTTCAAATACTGCCTTGTGCTAATTATTACATTGGTTTTGGTTGCACCCTACGTCTTTAGATTTCATAAATGAAAATTAAAAAGATATTTTTCATGGAAGCTTTTATCGAATATCAATATGTACTGTATAATATGCCTTGTTCTCAAGCTTCCCGAAATTCTAATATTTAGCGTGTCTAAAAAGACAAGTTTTTGTACTATTCCATGCGTCAACTATACTCTCACATTTTTAGCAAAGAGTTGAGAGCTATGAACTTGTGGGGAGTATAAAGAGTTTCAGATGTTAAATCACAGCAACACCCAAGAAACTCAAGCAAAATCTTCAAACATGTGTTAATCTTGCAGGTAGCTTCCCTAAAAGACACTGTTGCCAAGAAGGATGAAGAGATCGACAGGTTACGGTCCCACAAAATTAACGGGAGCACCGAACGACTCTCTTGTCTGAGCTCAACAGTGCATGGATCATCTGCCTCCCCAAGAAGGCATTCCATAGGCGGGGTCCGGCCAAACCAGAGGCCCTCAGCCGGGAAAGTGCCCTCCGATTTGGACAACAGCTCTGAGTATAGTGACAAACACTCTGAGGCCGGGTCCCAGCAGTCGATGGATGATTTTAGGCACCACAAGGACTTCTTCCGACAGTCGAGACTTGCTGCTGCCGTGGGTGGCGAGAAGTTTCCGGAGGGCAATGGTTTGAAGTCGGAAGTTGTGGGCCAAAATGGTCCAGATGAGGATGTTGAGCTTTTGGGGCTTGGAGATGGTGATTCGGACGAGAGGCTGAGTGATATTTCAGATGGAGTTCTTTCTATGGGGACGGAGACTGAAGGCTCTATTAACAGTATTGTGGAGTATACGCTTTTCCCGGAGACTGCCAAGCCACCTCCAGAGTTAATTGAAAAGTGAGTTTTGAAAAAAATAAAAAATGAAATAAAAATATTAAAAAAGCAAACTGCTATCGACCATTTTTATCCCTACTGCTTTTATCTTGTGAAAGAAATCCTCTGAAAGATATTTTGTTATTCAAAGACTTTCTTTTGCATGATGAGCTTGGTTAGAAATTATAGCTTGTATTGTGAGGCTAATATTTTCAGTTTGCCAAGCATGTTAAATTCTTTAGTGGGTTAATATGGGAACCTGAGGTTTTGTTGCCTTGTTGCTTGGCTGAATGCAGGCCTGATGTGCCAGCTAAAATTCCAAGACCACCAAAGCAGGGTCAAGCGTCATCTTCTCGGCCGTCTATGAGCAAAAGCGCCTCTAAAATTCCACGTATGGGACACTCCTTTAAATTTTTCTTTAATTTTTTTGTTTTTCTTTTTTTTTAATTTCCTGGAGTACGAAAATAAATTAGTTCAGATGCTTAGTTGCTGCTTATGTGCATCATCAGATTCGAAAAAGGCCACAGCTAGCAGCAGTTCTTCTGCAATTAAACCTTCCAAAAGGTGGCAGTAATTTGAACACCATGCAAGGACATTTTGAAGGACGTTGTTCGTAAATTAGATCATCAACGGACACGATGCGCTGGCTTGCCATTTTAAGTATTAGAATTCGTTCTAGTAAGAATTAGGGGTTTGCTAGAAATTTTTATTTCGTGTTGTAAAAATTTTAGATTAGACTTTGGTGGAATATACCCCAGCCTATGAATGAAATATAGAGAGATATGCAGATGATGTTCCTGTTCGTACAAGTGATGTGCTATTTACTCGTAGCCACGAAAAATGCACTATGCCTGCAATATTTGAGTTTCCCTTGCTACTGTGCTCTAATGTTCTAAGTGCAATGTGTTTGTTTTGTTAAGAAGTCCTTTAGTAGGTGTGCCTCGGAATTCAGTCGAGCTTTTAAACCTGCTCCTAGGGATAAGAGACATAGGGCTAAAGAGGGATCCGGAAAAAGTGTTCTATAATCATGCATAAAATCTCGAATTTTTATCATTTCCGCGGTATGCAGACCAAATAATACATGTAAGCAAAAGTTCCTAGATTCATGGAAACAATTCGATCAAATAATACATGTAAGCAAAAGTTCCTAGATTCATGGAAACAATTCGATCATATTCACAAGAACTATGCAACACTTCTCTTCACAATTTCAAACAAAGCATAGCACTTGCTTCACTGCAATCTCCATGCAACATAGTCACTTGCTTCACTGAAAAGTCATGCGCGATGAAAAATTCCTTTACAGCTCTCCACAAACTAAATAAAATAAATAAAAATCAAATCCCTCCAGCTTCTTTCTTTGTCCAAAGTGTTAGAATTTTGCTACAACTGTTCTCCAAACAACCAAAATTAAGCTGTGACTGAAACAGTTGGTGAAAACATCACGGGATCATCTGACTTGTGCTTGTGCTGCAACATTGGTTGCGAGACATCCAATGAGAACAATCTCTTGAAAGATTCATAGGAAGCAAAGAATAGGGCTCCCTGAATCATATACATGACTAGTCTTGGAGTCAACCCCCTGAGGGTACAAAACGACAGTGTCAATGTGGGGCCATTAATCAATGGAAGCAACAACTCGTTATCTTACAAAAAATGGGCCAAAGCAAAATACTATCACAATCAATGTGCTTATTTAATCAGTTTCTGTTGGAGAACTTGTGCAGTTTGAAAAAACACCATAATACTTGCAGATTCCATTGGTTATCGATTTACAACAGATAATTTTTCAAAAAAAGATGCCTACCTTAAGGCTTGACTAGGAATACTTTCTTAACATACTTAATATATGATGCTAAATTAAAGAATGAATCCTTGTGTCTTGTGATTTCTTACCTATAGAGACCTTGTACACCTTCTTGCCTCCCGATTTTTGTGAGAGTGTTGAATACTCCACCATACGGGGTCATTGATCCAGGAATCTGTATTCACAATTTGTTTTAGGTCTTTTTGCAAAAATTGAATTACTCACACAAACACTAAGGACAAAATAAGCTGGAAAGAACAAAGCATTCAGAGTGATGTATCTCAACAGATCAGATAGGTTCTTGTACAAGAAATCTAACTAAAAAGAAAAATGAATAACTGACCTGAGTTTGCAGTCTTGTCTTGACAACATCAAATGGAGTTGTGAATAACGAGGCCATAGATCCAGCTAACCCTCCACAAACTAACTGAAAAAAATAAAAATAAAAAAAATGAGAGAACCGTATGACAATCAGAAGTTAGCAGGTAGCTTTCCAAAGGCTCAGGCCACTGACCGTCGTAGATACATTAGCTTGAGCATTAGATTCGATTCCTGGCATTCCTGGCAATACAACTTGCTTCAGGCTTTCATAAGTGTAAAACTGAAAAAGAAAAGAAAGTAAATAAATGAGCAAAAAAGACGCTGATGGTGGGTAATAAATTTGTAAGAGATGATTAAAATATTATAATAAATCGATCAGATATAACGTGAGAGAATTACGAACAAAAAAAGTTATAAATGAAAAGCCTGTCATCTCTCTTATCAGTTCCCAGTGAAATATCATTTAACTGTCCTTTGGGACAAAGCAGTTTTTCACATAACATAACCTTGATGACAGAATGTGGAACATTTCTGCAGAGTACTGCTCCCCATCCATTATATAGTGAGAGCACGCCACCTTTTTGAACAACCTGTATGAAGGCATTCCTGTGTATGAATATAGTTAAACAAGAATACCATCAATCCAAAGGCGCAAAAGATCTGATAAATTGACATAAAGTTCAAATTTAATGTTAAAATTTTGAAAGACTTGCATCAAATCAAGTAAAACGTCATAGGTAAACAGATTTCGTAAATATTTAAAAAAAAAAGTGTACAAATAAAATGAATGAATGAACATCATTATGCAAACACCATAGTGCTTAAGTCAATTCCTCTCCTACCAGACCACTTACATCATTTGAACATGTACTTGCTAATAACTGCTTCAGCAGTGTTAGTACAACATTCATATACAGTTCTCGATAAATAGTTCGATTCCTTCACAATGACAATGTTGAATATATACTGAAAAAGACATACGTCCAAAAGATATACCGCTTACCAGCAGTTCCGGTAGTGAGAGCCTATCTGCATCTGCTGTTTTATGCGCTCGCTTGGAGTAAAAATAAATGAAGTAGCAATGCTTGCACAACCCCCTGCCATGCAATGAGCCAAAGATTGATATTCCTGTGCAAGGAAAGTCATAAATTTTATCAAATTAGTACATTGCTTTATCATGATTCCCAAAAGTCCTGATTCAGTTTAACTGCTTCTATTCTCAAACTTGAAATGATGTTTTACCTTGGGAACAACAGGAAGCAAACTTTTCTTAACAGATTCATACGTGAATGTGTAGACTGCAGAAATTGGAGCTGACGTCAAAATATTGCTTGATATGCCACGATAAAGCCCCGTGATACCTGAGAAACATTCCAAATTGATTATTCCAGTCCTTACAAAAATAAAAATAAAAAAATAAAAATAAAAATAAAAATAAAAGTCAAGGAGATAACGCTACTCAACTTCCTCGAGACCAACAAACTGAAAATTATTATTTTCAGAAAATTGCCTAAATTTTTACTAAATGTTGTACCTCTCTCCGCAACAATGGATCTGCCTATGTCGTGAAGGTTTTTCGGATCTGCACGGCAAGATTGAATAACTGTCTTAATTGTGTCCATTGGATGAAGACAAAGGCTTACAAATATGCCAGCCATTGCCCCTGCAAAAGCATGCTCTTGCTTTGCAAGCCCACATGGTGACTTTTGCTTGGCCGACAAACTTATTTCAACCTTAGGCGAGTCAGCTTCAACTAATGTAGGAACTTCTTGATTATTTTGGTGCTCATGCAGACCTTCCCTACTTCCGCTGATGTCATTTTCACACTCGCGACTATCTGATTCTAAATTAGTATTTTGGGAGACCACATCACACCTCAACGCAATTATCTCACAGTCAATCTTGTCAATATTCTGGTCACTCACCATAGTACTTTCTGAGCATCCAATAGTACACTCGTTCAAGTCTGTACCTTCAAAACTATCAATTGAACTAGTTGTATCAGTAGGCTCTCTGGCACTATCTGAGTTTGTCAAAAGCTCGCTTATGTACGAGTTAATGGTCCTTTTTCTGCTCTCAATATTAATAAAACCATTCTTTTGCTTAGCATGAGCTATTTCAGCCATCCATCTATATGTACTTTCTAAGTTAAGTGGTGTTTCTGTATTTGAAAGACGATACGGCCTTGCAAGGACTATCTTCCAGAATGAAAAGAAATCATAGCTAGGTTGATGGCATATGATCTTCTGATTTAATCTCAAATTATCAAGATTTTCTTGCACCAATCTCGGAAAAGTAGCTTTACTGTTCAAATTGCTTGAGCAAGGTTGACCATCGGCTGAGTTAGAAGTAAGAAGAGATTCCCCATCAGCAGAACAGTAAAGTAGGCCATCATCTCCTTGAATAAGTTCAGGTTTGCATGTGGAGTTACCGGTGGATACAAGTGAAGAAAGAGGCTTCCTGGCTCGACCCCAGGCATATCCTACAGCCGAAATTAGATCGGTTGTGCTTAAAACCTCAGATGATTGGGGCTTGGAATTTCTCAGAGCACACTTGTCATTTCCTGATGGAGTGATATCTGAGTTATCAAAATTCGCAAGCTCGATAAATGGCCGTTTGTATTGATTAGTTCTATGTCTGACTGAAGTCTTCTCATTTCTTTGGAACACACTACCATCAGTCATCTTTCAGATTCTCGAGGAAAGCATATGGATTGAGTTGCAACTGCATATTGACAATCAGAAGTTAGCAAAAATAAACCGGACCGTAATATTTAAAACAATATTGGGAAGGGACAGTTGAGCAAAATCTGAAACAACTTTTCGGTCTGTTGACACCACATCTCCCTTTTAAGAAACTCTAAGAAGGTAAAATTTGTCAGTTCAAAATGCCAAAAAAACACTGGTCAAACAAACTCGCTTTCTGATTATTGTTTGGGCTTTCCAGGGCTATACCTGAAACAATATACAGCTCGGGAATAAAGAAGCTCAGAATACATATTCACATGGCATAATGACTTCGAGTAAAACAAGACCAGCTGAGATGTTGAGGGGAGCTAAAATTCGATAATTTCGTTCCACTCTGAACTGCTAAAATCAATCCATTGCGAACCCAATAGACTCATCCACGTATAAATGGTGCAAACTTCAAAACAAAATGAACGGCCATAATCACACACTGTTAGATATATGAGCTACAAACCCATTAAAAATGGTAGCCAGAGAACGCAGAGAGAAGAAAACCAGCAAAGATAAAACATACTCGTACCAGTCACACCAGTTTATCTCGATTGTATTCACAACCCATAATCCATGCTATCAAGAATCATGACTGTCGAGTATTCACAAATT